ACCGAAACCAGGAGCCGGGGCGGAGGGTAGCCACGCCGGCGAGCTTTGCCGTGGCAACGGGTGGTTCGGTGTGGCGGATCTGGCGAGGGAGAAAGCGAGGGGGGGAAGGCAGGAGGGCTCTAGGGTTTCGGGGCATCTGGGAGGGGTTGTCGTCAACCTAGTAGGCGCCGAGGTGCACCGGATGGCTGCCACGTGGCCATCGGCGTCGTGGACGGGCGCTGTGTGTCCACGGGGGTGGGGTGAACAGAGGAAGAGGAACGAGGGGGGGCTAGGTGGGCCGGCCTGGCAACTTCGGCCATTTGGGCCAAGTGGCCCAGGGGGTTTCTACCTGTTGTTTTATTTTACTTTGTTTTATTTATTCTTTCATGTATTATTTTAGTTTCACATTGCTATAGTTTAGTTAAAATACAAAACTAGTTACTAATTTTAGTTTCACAAATATGTCACTGCCCCATTAGTTCAGGCAACTAAATAAATTAGCTTAATATTTTATTAATTGAAAAAGGCATTTAATTATCTATTTCTGCTACTGTTTTATTTATTTCAAAATATTTAAACATTTTGTAAAAGTGTGGTTACTTCACCAAAATAATTTATGGATTATTTTCGGCAAACCAAACAATTTAGTTTTAACGTTTGAAAACTTTTGATGTTTGCCATTAACTCAAATTTGAATTTGAATCGTTTTCAACTAACACGAGATTAGCAACAGTAATCGTGGTGACGTGGCATCATTAGTAGAAGGTTACTGTAGCTTAATTATCCGGGTGTCACAATATATTTGCTTTCGCGGAGAAAAAAATCAGAGAGAAAGATTCATCGCGTTTTACGATACAGAGTCACCGTCAAGCCCTAATCTCTCTCGGGAGGGCTGATCTGGAGTCCGTTCGGGGCTCCGGAGAGGGGGATTCATCGCCGTCGTCATCATCAACCATCCTCCATCACCAATTTTATGATGCTCACCGTCATGCGTGAGTAATTCCATCGTAGGCTTGCTGGACGGTGATGGGTTGGATGAGATTTACCAAGTAATCAAGTTAGTTTTGTTAGGGTTTGATCCCTAGTATCCACTATGTTCTGAGATTGATGTTGCTATGACTTTGTTATGCTTAATGCTTGTCACTAGGGCCCGAGTGCCATGATTTCAGGTCTGGACCTATTATGTTTTCATGAATATATGTGAGTTCTTGATCCTATCTTGCAAGTCTATAGTCACCTATTATGTGTTATGATCCGACAACCCCGAAGTGACAATAATCGGGATACTTCTCGGTGATGACCGTAGTTTGAGGAGTTCATGTATTCACTAAGTGCTAAAGCTTTGGTCCGGTTCTCTATTAAAAGGAGGCCTTAATATCCCTTAGTTTCCACTAGGACCCCGCTGCCACGGGAGGGTAGGACAAAAGATGTCATGCAAGTTATTTTCCATAAGCACGTATGACTATATTCGGAATACATGCCTACATTACATTGATGAATTGGAGCTAGTTCTGTGTCACCCTATGTTATAACCATTAAATGATGAACCGCATCCGACGTAATTATCCATCACTAATCCAATGCCTACGAGCTTTTCACATATTGTGCTTTGCTTATTTACTTTACCATTGCTACTGTTACAATCACTACAAAACTGCTATTGTTACTTTTGCCACTGTTACCATTACTTCCATACTACTTTGCTACTAAATACTTTGCTGCAGATACTAAGTTATCCAGGTGTGGTTGAATTGACAACTCAACTGCTAATACTTGAGAATATTCTTTGCCTCCCCTTATGTCGAATCAATAAATTTGAGTTGAATACGCTACCCTTGAAAACTGTTGCGATCCCCTATACTTGTGGGTTATCAAGACTATTTTCTCGCACCTGCCGGGGAGCATAGCTCTATTCTTTGAGTCACTTGGGATTTATACCTACTGTCACTATGAAGAACTTGAAAGATGAAAGAACTAAGATTTTTCCCTCAACTACGAGGGGAGGTAAGGAACTGCCATCTAGCTCTGCACTAGATTCTCCTTCTATTTTGAGTAAGCTTGCGACACCTAAACCTTCTTCTACTATGAATTTTGATATGTCGCATGTTATTGATGATGCCACTTCTGCTATGCATGATACTTATGATGAAACTACTTCTATGCTTGATAATACTGTGCCATTAGGTGAATTTCTTGATGAACAACTTGCTAGGGTTAGAGAGAATGAAATTCTTGAAATTGATATTATTGAAGATAGTGATGATGAAGGTTCTCCCCCTAAGTATGAATTGTCTGTTGTTCCAGAGGGTTATGTTATGGATAAAGAAACTACTAGAGATATTCTTGCTTGCAATGATAGATCATATCTTAAGAAGTTATTAGCTAAACTTAAACAGAAATCTCTAAATGCTAGAATGAAATATGACCCTGCTTTTGCTACTTCACCTATCTTTGTTACCGATAAGAATTATGAATTCTCTGTCGATCCTGAGATAATTACTTTGGTTGAATCGAATCCTTTTTATGGTGATGGCTGTGGCCGCGCGTTTCATGGCGGCGGGTCCATGGCGGCGTTCGGACGCGGTGGGGGAGGAGGAGGAGCGAGGTAGATCTGAGGGAAGGGGAGGCGCAGGGACCGAGGGGAAGAGCGGGGCGAGTGGGAGGAGGAACCGAGGAGGCGGAGGGCGTGGCGGCCTTATCCCCTCCCGGCGTCGGTGCCGGCGAGGTGGTTGGGCGGGGACACGCCCTGTTCCGACCCTGGTCGGGGGAACAGGAAAGGGGGGAACGGGGGAGTGGGCTGGCCCGGCCGGGCCGGTTTGGCTGTTGTTAGATGGGCCAGTTGGCCCAGGGGGTTTGGGGGGAGGGGGTTCTTCCTTTTCTTTCCCTGGTAGTTTTGTTTTCTTTGCAATTTTCTTTTCTTTTATTAATTTTCCTTTTCTTTTTTATTTAATTTAGGGCATTTAAGCTTTATATAAAATTGTGCCTTCTACACCATAATTACCAATGCCATTTTTTACACTGCCCGAACATTTTTGTTTCAATTTTTGAAAACTTTGGATGTTTGTCACTAATTCATTTTTTTGAGTTTGAAATGTTTTGAACTAACACTTGGTTAGCAATAGTAATCAGAGGTGACATGGCATCATTAGGAGAGTTTTACTGTAGCCTAATTATCCGGGCGTTACAGGCGGCCATCTAGAAGGAGATGCGGGCCGCCTACACACGACGCATCGCTCGCATTGTAGCCGGCATGCCTCCGTACTCTCCGGAGCAGGAGGGGCGTTGAGATGGAGAACGCAGTGTGGGATGAATCATAGGAGGACAAGGGCGAGGCGTATCTGACGCCGGAGCAGGCTGGATTCACTATGGACAATGCACTGGCCGAATTCGGGGTCGCCCAAGCAGAGAAGGTAGTGAAGAAGTAGGTCATCGTCGAGTCCATCCAGTGGAACTCAAGGGAAACCGATGCTACAACTACGAGGCAGACATGAAGCGCAAGGAACTCATCGCTAACGTGGAGGTGGCGATCGACGAGGAGGTGGAGTGGCAGCCCACCGTCAACGACCACGAGGTCGCTCCGTCCGACATCGAGGTCATCAAAATATCAGACGACGACTAGAGTAGTTTGATACAGTACGTAGCTTGGTGTACTATGAAAATAGTAGAAATGAGGGGTGACCGAGTCTTGTTGACAGACGCACCGACCGTCTCACTTTTGAGGTATTAGAGCATCTATAGTCGGGCGCCTCAAACGCCCAGGAGGACGGCCCGTCATTGTATGGTAAAAAGACAATATAGACAGGCGTCTCAAACAAGTCTCAAACGTCTGGGCTGACATGGACCTCTCATATCCAACCCATATCTGGGACAGATATGGAGAGGCTCGGGCGCGACCGGCCGCGTCCGCCACATCGGACCGACATGCGGGTCCCCCCAGGAAAACACTTCAAAACCCACGGTCTGAAGCTCGTCTCCCTAGACAGACTGATGGCGCCGCGTGTCGGCGCTGCGGCGCGCCGCGCAAGGCCCCTAGCCTGGCTATTTAAGACAGGCGCCGGCCCCAAAACCCTACCTGTCCACATTTCCTCCCCTCTCGCCCGCTGCCGCCACTTTTTAATTGCCGTCCACCTCCACATTTCAATCGTCGGCCGCTCGCCGTCCGCCACCACAATCAAGTAGCCATGCCACCATGCTGACGGGTTAGGAGCTACCCTTATCTAACGTCGGAGCGCCAGCTGTAGCTCCTTGAGCAGATCCGGACAAGGTGCGAAGCCCGGATCGCCACAGGGCTTCCACCGGATGCGGTGGATCCGGAAGAGGATTCGAGGAGGAGGAGGAAGAGGAGGAGGACATGGGGGCACGGGGACGCGAATCTGCAGGCGGTGCAGCATGCAATCCTCGATTCCCTCCAGTCGGAGGCAAAGCGGAGGCCAACCGCCGTATCCTTCCGGTGGAGCAGGAAGCATAAGTCGACGAGATGCTTGCCGATATGGACGAGCCCTCCTACGCTCCCCTCTACCCGGTGCCCACCACAGAGATCCGACGACGACGAAGCGCGGTTCGGGCTAGTGTAATTTGCACAGTATGCAGAATTTTTCTTTTGCATGCGTTGTATGGATTTAGGGGGTGAAATCTGAGGTGTGACTTGTCACTGCCCGCGGAGTGCCACTGTAGCTCTTATATCAGCGTTTTGTTTCCAAGGGACCCTGAGACACAGCTGGACCCATATGTCGGCGCTTTTGTGATGCCAAGAGGATCGATACACACGTGTCGGATGCTCTGCTCCCACCAGAGTGTGGATAACAAAAGCAAATTCACATGCCATGTTGAGCTGTTCGCAGATGCTATACACAATCACACGGGCCACGTAGATACTTTGCTTGCTTCCATCCCCATCCAGAGATCCTACCCACAGGCCACAGCCTGATAAACACCCACCTCCTCTGGAGTCAGTATATGGCAGCAAACTCCTGATAAACGCCGTCTCCACCGAGAAGAAAAGCCTCCGGCCGGCGGCAACAATGTGTGGCCGCGACGACGACTGCTACCTGACGAGGGATGAAGTCAAGTACCTCTTCATCTGCTTCGGCGTCGTCGCGGTCGTGGTCCTCCTCGCCGTCCTCCTGGCCGCCTTCGTCTACCTCCGCCACGTCACCATCACCGTCGAGGACGCCTCGCTCACCAGGTTCGACCTGCTCACCTCCCCGGTGACGGGGATCGCCTACAACCTCTCGCTCACCCTCAAGGTCCGCAACCCCAACTGGGCGATGAGCATGAAGAACGTGGAGCCCTTCGTGGCCGCCTATCGGTTCGACGGCCAGCAGTTCGACCGCGTGCAGGTCGCCGCCACGGGCGACAAGCACCCCGCCGGCGCCACCAGGGTGTACCACCTCACCTCCTCGTCCCAAGGCGCCTTCGTGTCCCTGGGCAGCGCCGGCGAGCAGGAGTACAGGAAGGAGAGCAAGACCGGGACGTTCGACGTGGAGGTGGCGCTGACCCGCAAGGTGAGCTACACGGCGCGCTACACCAAGTGCAAGATCGAGGCCGTGTGCCCGCTCAAGCTGCAGCTTGTCAAGCCGGACTCCACCACCGTCGTCTTCCAGAAGGTGACGTGCAAGCTCCAGAAGGCCGAGAAGAACTGCTAGCTAATTACTCTACTGGTGTATGCATGCATGGATTGATCATGTTCGTGGTTTGTGTGGCCACGATCATCATTAATTACTTTTATTATTCCATCACACCATTTGCCCGTTCGTTTGGAATTCAAGTGGGTTTGTGTGTGTGTGGTGTTTTTCTTCCCATTCTTTCACGACCATCACGTATGTTTTGATTTGAAGTGTGTGTGCTGCTTTTTTCTCATTAATTATTTGTTGTGTAAGATGTAATGATAATATTTTCGATGCTATCTTCCTGGTGTAAAAGAACAGGTTTGATGTTGTTTGTTGGTTGTAGGGGAAAAAAAGATCTGATGCTAGCTTTCTGTTGGTTCAACGTTCAAGGGGGGAAAGGTTTGATGCTATCTTCTCATGAGCATCCGCACTGCTTGTGAGTGAGGCTAGAAGGGTACACGCAACGTGTATGCCGCGGCCCGTGGGTGGCATCTAAGCAATTAATGTTCAGTTGTATCTTTGCATGGCATACAAACAAAGAGCAAGTTAAAAACAAAACAAAAAGTAAACTTATTTCCCATCTCTATGCCAAAACCTATCTGTTGAAATTTTGTTGGGCATCATGTTTCCTACGGTGGTGCTGCTCGGTAGCGGCAGTGGTGGGACGAGCATCGCCTGACGGCTTGCCCTCGACTACAGCGGCGGTTGGTAGCTCTCGATCCATCCGTTTTGGATCTGGGTTGGATGGAGGTTCTCGACTTGTGTCTACCTATGGGCGTGGTGGGAGTGGTGTTGACCTCGCCGACAGCTGCGACTTGGGGCTTCCATGCTTACCGGGGCGCTGACCATGGTTGCAGGCGGGTGTGGTGTTGCCGGGGCTCGGCAGCTACTAGGCGCCATGGTGATGCAGGTAGCTGCCATGTGCTCATCGTGGTGGTACTGGTGAGGCGTGACAATGCGGTTTTCAATGGGGTGGCGCTGAGACAGTGGCAGGGTGAATTAGTATGGGCGGAGTTGCCCTTTCCAGTGAGCAGGGATGTAGGTGTGTGATACAGATGAAAATCCCGCACATCTCCGGATGGTGCTAGTGGTGGCTGTGTCCGTGGGTGTCGTTTCCCTTTTTGGAGGCGTCGAAGTGGTGTGTCGTCTCTCCCTCCCTCCCTCCCTCCCTCTCTCTCTCTCTCTTTGTTGTCCCCAGGTGAAAGCCTAGGTTCGGTCATCCCGCATCAGCGATGGCGGCACCTTTGGCGTCGTTCTTCTATTGGGAGTATTGTTTGTGGAGACATAGCTTGGTGGTTCTATGTTGCATTGCTTTGGCGCTCGCCGCTATTCTGGATTGTGATTCAAGGGCGCTACGTACGTCGTCGCAGGTGAGTGCAAGATGATGGCTTTCTCAGAGTTGTCCGAGTCCCGCCAACGCACCTGCCAACTCTTTTATGAGCTCAAGGGTGGTTGGTGTGTTGGCAAGGAGAGTTCGGCGTTGGTGGAGACGCGGCTTTGGTGATCAATTTAGGACAATCGCTTATGCATTGTTGTTGTTTCGTGTGCATTTGTGTTGAAGTTGATTTGCTTCTCACCGGGTCGTGGTTGGAGCACGTCGGTCTTTCTCTGCCTTCTATAAAGTTAAGGCACGCAATTTGCATGCTTTTGAAAAAAGACAAAGGTGAAAACATACCAAGGGAGGGGGGGAGGGGGGTACTAACATTCTCCGTTAAAACTGCTAGTCATAGTATTTCTGAACTTCGACAAAACTCTCAAAAGCAAGTTTTAGGGAAAATGGAGAAAATATACGTGTATACCATGTCTGTGTTGCACGAGATGTTGTCCAAAACCTTTCTACCGAGATATTCGGCAAAACTTGGATCATCATTACTTATTCCATCAATTGCCCGTTTGTTTGGATATGACGAAGTGTGTGTGCTGTTTTTTCCCGTTCATTCTTTAATGTGTACGATGTAAGAGCATCTACAGCTCGGGGTATGATTAGGAGTGTGCCGACTCGGGAGGTTTCGTGGGCATTTCTGTTTTTTAGGTCGTTTTTTTTTCTTTAGGTCGGTTGCGTTTTTCTATAAGTTAGCTACATTAAGCAACGACTACCTCTCACTTTGTGTTGGTCTTGCCATCGCCGAGCGTGACCTCAAGGTGGATATTTTGTAGCACAACGGTGGATGGCAGCTGCACCACGGGAGCGTCAAAGAGGTCATCGTCATGAAGGTCGGTGAGGGCGGCGGGTACCGCAACAAAAACACTCTCTGCATCGCCATCATAGGTGATCCCTAACCCCCAGTTGTAGCAGCAAAAAATCCTGCCATGTCACGGAAAGTAGAGCTTGTCACTCCGCTTTTTGAGCGCCCGGATCTCTTTGACAAGGACAACGATGATCCATGTTATTCGAAACAACTTGTAGGGGGTCGTATGAAATTCTTGGCTCTATTTGTTCTTTATTATGTTTAGGCCCTTTTGTCACTCCTACTAGATGTCTCTCGATTAATGGTGGAACTAGAACAGAGAGAGGATTATAGCTTGGGGAAGAAGATGAAGTAGCTAAGAGGAAATGGAGATAGAAGCCACCGGCGGGCCGATGGTTCTTCTGATCCTAACCGGGATACGCCTCTCTCTTCTTCTTCTTTGAGAGAGAGAAGAACGTGCCTCTCTCCTGCTGCCTATCGACCAGGCCACTAGTCACTGTTGGGCTCGAACATGTATGAAACCCATTGAGTCCCGGTAAATTGTGCTTGGGACGGCGTTGCCTTCTAGCCGAAATGGGGCAACTCCCTCCTTCCCGCGCTCTGCTGAGTCCTCGTTGGCGCCTTATGTGCCGCTTTTGCTTGGTGGCGCTCACGTCCAAGCTCACTTGGGCCATCCCATTTAGCTGGATTGCTCCTTTCGCTTGATCACTTCCTTCTATCGCTCGACAAACATAAAACTCGCTCATTTATCACTAAAAAAACTCGCTTGTTCAATTCAGTTGACCGCGTTGATCGTTCAATTCAGTTGACCACATTGACCATTAAAATTTTGACCACTTCGCAATTGACCGTGTTGACTTTCCAAAAAATTAAAAAACATCAAATTTGAAAAAAAAACTTCCTTGATTTGAAAAGGTTCATCGGTTAAAAAAATATTCATCAAATTTGGAAAAAAATCACGAAATTTGGAAAAAGTTCATCGATTTTGAATAAAAAGTTCATCACTTTTCAAAAAGTTCATTGATTCGAAAAATAGTTCATCGATTTTTGAAAAAAGTTCACCAATCTTGAAAAAAGTTCATCAGATTTGAAAAGAAGTTCATCGAATTCAAAAAATAGTTCACTAAATTTGTAAAAAAAAGTCCATCTAGCTCCCTCTGCGCCCTTTGCTCAAATAGGTCTGCTAACGGGAGCCCCTGTTTGACGCCCTTTGCATCAAATTGGCGGTGGCACGCACAAAGAGGGAGCCTGACTGGGCGGCCCATCAAATTCTACCGTGGGACGAAAAAGATAGCAGAAAAAAAACGCGCCGACCCCGTATTCGAACCATAGACCAACTGTGTACTAATACGCGCTCCTAGCCACTCCAGCTAACCAATATTATTGTCAACAGAGCAATGCATACCTTAAAGAACTAACCATAGATGTAGTAGCGAACCGAAAATAGCTATTGTAGCGAATCTGAATTACTTACTGGGATGAATGGTTATTTTAATGTATATTGTGAAAAAGTACCAACATTTCTTGAGTTCCTTGAGAAAAAACTGGAGACAGGAACATTTTATGAATATGTGAACAAAAAAACTAATAATATTTATTGTTTTTGGAAAAATATAAATCATTTTTGGAATTTTAAATAAATTAGTAAATTCTGAACAAATGTCGAAACCGTGAACAGTTTTTGAATTTAAAAAAATATCTGATAAGTGGAACATTTCATGGTATGCGGAACAAAATTTTGAAACCGTGAACATTTTTAAAATTTGTGAAAAAACATAAAAATGGAACATTTCATGAAATTACGAACAATTTTCAATAACGAACATTTTCTAAAATTCTTGAACATTTTTTGAATCTCTGACAAAAAATTTAATTGCGAGAAAAAGAACATTACTTGAAATTCCGAACAAAAATTTGAAATTGCGAACATTTTTTGAATTTCTTGACATTTTATTAAATGTGAACGTTTTTTATTTTCAGACCAAAATGTGAAACCAAAACATACATGAACATTTTTTCAAAAATGAATAATTGTTCAACTTGTGAACAAAAAAATAAACATATTTTAAAATTTCTGTACATTTTTGAACTTGTAGAAAATTTAAAGACAGGAACATTGTTTGAAATTCTTTTATATTTTTATACTAGAACATTTTTAATTTTTGAATAAAAATTAAAAGATGAATATTTTTTGAAAATATGAACAAAATTTGAAATTTTCGAAAAACATATTGAAAGTAAAATCATCTTGAAAAAGGAAAAGGAAAAAAGAAAAGGAAAAGTAAAAAAACGAAAAAATAATATAAAAAAACTAAAAAAAAGGGAAACCAAAAAAATCGTTCAGCAACCTAAACCAGGATCCGTGTATACGCTAAACAGCTAACATGGGCCGGCCCACTGCGATCGCTCCATTGATCGCTAGTTGCAAACATCGACATCTTGACGCAATGTGCGTCCTTTAGGGAATTCCGTCGCTAACATCATGTAGACCGGAGCCCCATGCCCTGGGTCTCACATGGCTGTGCCACCAATGTGAACTTTTCTCCTAGTATTGTTCTGCGTTATTGGTCTGGGAGCAGAAAGAGCTATGCCCTGCCCCCTTCGAAAGCAAAGCCAAAGAATCAGCTGTGTGGTACTTGTGGTGGGAACGACGCAGATATACACACGGCGAGCAACTGTACGAGCCAACCAGATCGGCGCAAGCAATATCCGCACTCGCAAAAAATTACTCAAGAGCGAAATTCAAGCACAACAGAATTAGGAGACATGGCTGGGAGAAACCACCAGAGGGCACAATCAAGCTGAATGTGGACGCGAGTTTCGACATTGACAATGGCACTGGCGCTA